GGTTGGACTGTAAGATCTAAGTGCTTTACGAGCTTTGATCATACTTCGATCATTAACTTTTAGAGTAGTTCACAGTTTTTTTAAAGTTTCAATTCGGACAGAAATCAGGAGAGTGAGGTATGTTATCTAAGTAGTTTTCATTATTCAATACAAACGTCAGTTAGTGTGAGTTGCTGGAAATTTTTGAACTTGGAACAGAAGACTGTCATAAAATATACTACTATATACTGTATTTTTCGCTTAGTCGAGCACTGTTTTAAATTAATATATAATAAGATGGATAAATGATATAATACATAAGAGGATATAAAACAGTACATAACATCTGATAGTTAACTGAAAAGAAATGTCCAGAAAATGTAGAACATGTAAACATTTCCAAAATAACAAATACTAATAACTTTAAGATTATTTAAAGTATGTAACGTTTAAATGTAAACCCTCAATAGGATCGATAAAGGAAGTACTTACCAAGACAAATGGAAAATATATGTAGGATTATTGTGACAAATGTGCGGCAAATTTTCCCTATTTAAAAAAAACACAATAGAAATATACAAAAAACACAAAAGCTATCAACAATGATAGTCAAAGTATAGTTGGGTTCCGCGTGATAACTATGATCACTGGTTGAAAAACGTTGGGCGATATGGCTCAAAAGTGGTAGTAATAATAATAAGATATTACAATATAATTTTTATTGGTTTTTATCAACATAAATATCAATCTTAGTTAAGTTTACTGTTATATGCTTGTCTACTTCCACATATTATGACTTTCGATTATATACTTAATACTTATTTCAACTTCACTAATTAAATTACAGCAAACCTTTGTTTCTGATCACGTAACTTTTGATAACGTCAAACTGCTTGAAACTGAATGAGAAGCCTTAAAATTTATTCATTTTAATCGATCTTGTTATTTGTGCCCTACTTAATTTTTTTTAAATGACTACGTTATATGAAATTCTTGAAAAAAACATTTTCGTTATGCTAATCATAATAATATATACTGAGTCACTAAGCTTGTAATGCCGGTTGCTATGTTAAGCCTACACAGTTTAGTCTAGCTTTCGGTGGAGTTTTGTTCGAGAAGCTTTCATCGTTTTTCTGAACGACAGCATCAGCACAAACTGACAGACCAGTTTATTCATTCTTTTGAATCACATTTTGACTTTGTCAATTACTCGCTTGTCAACCTTGATTGTTTTTATGTAAGCGTATGTGTGTGCATTTCTTATCTTACTCATCACATCTCTGTAACTTATTTTCGTCTGACTATAAATATCGAATCACTCTTGATTAAATCGAGTTGGCTCACTCGCTTTCACCAACGCACGTCATTTTATTTTGCTTCTCTTTTCGACCAACGATTGTACAAAATAAACGTATTCAAAATCCATTCTCGTATTGGTATTATTTAATTCCGTTATCCACTAACGCGATTTAAGTCGATGATTATATACGAGGATTGGTGACATATATAAGTCGATAACGATAATCATACGATCGAACTGGAATGAGATCTCGGGACACTGAAAACCGAATTCGCAAATTTATTACAGATAAATATATAAATCACACATACCATTTGAAGGGAAACATTTGTTCAGTAAAAATTGTACGATGCGCCATAGAAGACATGAAACAAGTATCAAAATCAGTAACCAATAGGCTTGTTTCAAAACTGGTATAGTGCATGATAATATTTCTGACGATATAGACTTTATGGATAAAGCATTCTCGAATAAAACATCTTCATAATCATCATCCCCTTCAATAGTTTCTAGATCATCTAAATAATTCCCCGACAGATCATTGTCTCCTTTTTCCTCGTCTACCTCCTCAAGCAGTTCTTCTTCTTCTTCATAGTCATCCATATACCAATTTTCTTCTTGTTCATCCATTTTTCTCAAACTAGTGATAAGGAAGTATTTTCATTTGATCAAAAGGACTTAAAATCTAGAGAATAAAGGTAAATATGCCAAAACTATTTACAGACAAAAGAAAATTTATTAATTTTATAATATATTTCATTGTTTGAGTGAAATAACATTAAATGACAGTTAGAAAAGGATTCGCAAGACAGCTTTTACAGTAGATTAACATCCATCGTGATACCTTTGAAAACCAGGAAGCGACAGGCAAACGTCATGTTTTAGATTGAGATTACCATAATCAACAGGTGGTACTCACAAGCCTAACAGAGAACAAACATAAAACCCTCAGACGTTTCAACGAGTGAGTGATCAATGAGACAGGTTCCGAGATTTACATATGCAACTAAAATCAATCCATTTTAGACACAGTAAGATAGGAGCCGGCAGTAGAATCCAGGACGTGCGTTTCATACTGTTTGTGACTTAATTAATTATATTCTATTAGCGTTTCGCGGATCGGCAAAGCAAGAGCAGCATATTTACAACTGAGGAACGTCTGGAACTCAAAACAACTGTCAACCAACATCAAGGTCAGGATTTTCAATACAAATGTCAAGACAGTTCTACTGTATGGGGCAGAAACCTGGAGAACTACGAAAGCAATCATCCAGAAAATACAGGTGTTTATTAACAGTTGTCTACGCAAAATACTTCAGATCCGTTGGCCGGACACTATTAGCAACAACGTACTGTGGGAGAGAACAAACCAGATCCCAGTGGAGGAAGAAATCAGGAAGAAGCGCTGGAAGTGGATAGGACACACATTGAGGAAAGCGCCCGACTGTGACACAAGACAAGCCCTCACATGGAATCCTCAAGGCCAATGGAAAGGAGGAAGACCAAAGAACACATTACGCCTGGAAACGTAAATAGACATGAGAAAAATGAACAAGAATTGGATTGAACTAGAAAAGAAGGCCCAGGACAGAGTGGGTTGGAGAATGCTGGTCGGCGACCTATGCTCCATTAAGAGTAACAGGCGTAAGGAAAAAAGTATTAGCGTTTCGGAAATTATAAAACATGAGGGTGAGAATAACCACATAACTAGCTTAATACATACATTAATTAACTAGATTAATGAGAATTAATTGACTTGTGCGTAAACTCAACTAGCTACACAAAACTTAAAGTATAACGTCTGTTCACTTGATATTGTTTTATTTGAATCTTCCCATTGATGTTTTAGGACTGAAGTTGATCAGTCTCTTATTGGCATATGTGCATACTGTGCGTATGCCCCGATATTGCCTTAATTTACAAGCATTATAAGCAGAGATGGATAGTGGCTAGCAGTGGAATCCAGGACGCGCGTTTCGTCCTGTTTGGGACTCGTCAGCTGGATGTACCTGCATCTCAGAGTTGATGTTCACTCTGGGACTCGAACTCAGTACCGTTCGTTTCAAACGCCATCGCGTTATCCACTTAGCTACTGAGTCCTGATAGTCCTCAGTAGCTAAGTGGATAACGCGATGGCGTTTGAAACGAACGGTACTGAGTTCGAGTCCCAGAGTGAACATCAACTCTGAGATGCAGGTACATCCAGCTGACGAGTCCCAAACAGGACGAAACGCGCGTCCTGGATTCCACTGCTAGCCACTATCCATCTCTGCTTATAACGTCTGTTGTCTGTTTTCTCAGTATTTTAAAACATGCATTGGCTGACTCTACTAATCTATCTTCATGTTATCTAAGTCTTATTTTCGGCCGGCTGGTTACTATTTTTTGTACTCGGTTGCGGTTGAATAATAAAGTAATATGTTCAAAAATGTATAACCAGAAATATCAGCCAGTCATAATCGACGTAGGGCCTGGTTTAAAAATGTATCCACTCAAGCTGCTATGCTATACGAGTAAAAATAGAAAAAACCGAGTGAATAGCAAAAAATTTCGAATATTAGTAGTATACAGGATATTATAGAAGAGTACGTGTAGAGAATATGGAAAAACGGGATAATACAGGATGAATCTACGCCATTTTAATTAACCCATGCCGTCTCATCCAATGCTTCCGATCGTTGGTCACAATTATCTCACGGAACACAACTAGGTCTGTAGTCAGAACCTCTTCATATGAGTCAAACCAATAGTCAATGACTTCATGAGCTGACTAGGTTTGTTGATTTCCTTATTACTAGTTGTCATCTACAAAACACTACATTTCGGGATAAACAATAGTTGAAAAAACACCACGCAACGCAAGTAATCTGAAACCATGAATAATAAAATGTCTTAAATAAATGGGAAAATGAATATTTTAGGAAGTAATTTTCGCGTACATATATATATATATATATATATATATATATATATATATCTGAGATAGGTCATACAATGGTATCCCACAACAGATTAGGACTATAATGAACTTATAGTTTCCAACAAGGATCAGTTCTGTAGTTATTGATTCGACGTGATGTCCCATTCTAGCATTCCTCAAAACCAAACATATGCTCCCCAGAACAGCAAGTGAGAATAGCTTTTGGCCAGGTATGCACAACATATATTTCCCTAAACTCAGTCGATAAAATTTCACAATCTCATCAGACAAATTACCATGTTTATTGGGAACTATAACCCCACTCCAACCTCAGGACTACTCACTTGGTGGTCCTGACATACGTGAGCTGTTCCCGACACATTTGTGATCGATCATTAACAGTTTGTGAATAGGAAGTTTGTTATTGGTTTTCAATATAGTTAGTCATCCTATATCAAACATATTTTATGAACGATTGTAATTATAGCGTATTGAAGTGGTAGTTTAGCGGTTGCAGCACTCAGTCTTCAATTAGTAGATCCATTTCATTTACTTAGGTTTGGACCATCGACAAGTAGAACCACTAGCCTCCACAAAATGTATCCTTAAAAGCCAAATACATCAACAAGAACTTGGTAAATAAGTAACATCGAACTACAATCACAATGCAATTACAGATAGATATAATTTTCTGAATGTACGTTTTTGAGAGTATTCAACTAGATATTCTAAATACATGAAGCACAAATTAAAATATCATCCAAGCATGACACAAAAAAAACAAATTAAAAGAACAGAAAATTTTACGAAAATATGTATTTGTCTTCCTTTAATCATTCTCATTTACAAAAAATATACTGAACAATAGAAAGAAAGGGAAAAAACAATTTTCATTATACATCATAATGATTTTGAAAATGTTGGATTACTAGAATGTGAAGACATATACTGAAGGGATAAGTAAATTACATTAGGCTGTATTTTATTAGTGCTACTATTACAATTACAATGGGTACTTTCATTGGACGTAATTTCTTTTGACTGTACAGATAATTTCGAGTGTTCACCAACAATAACTTGAGGATCTACAACACTACTATCATTATCATCATTCTTAATTTCACAATGTTTTATTCTTTGAACTGTAAATTTTCTAGTAAACATTTCAATATTACTAACTGTAGCTAGAACAAGTATTTTTTTCAGACCATTTGCAATACGTAGTTTAGCTAATAATTGTGAATCGCAAAATGGATCTGTTGGATTACAAATTGTAATAATATGACTACCATGATACAAAAGTGGATCACCTAAGAAACAGAATGTAAAAGAAAAAAAAAGAAAAACTGTAAAGTAGAACGTACTCTTTGAGTATAATAATAAGAACATATATAGTTTGAAAAACTCTTCAAGTTTTATTTTATGTAATAAAGCCCATAACATCATTATTAAATTGAACAGTTTAATTTATACTGGCGATGCATTTAGATGAACATACTTGTGATATAAGTATATAATATTCACATTAATTCATAATGTACTAATCAATTTACGTGTAAATTAGCTTTTTATTACCTGAGGATTAAACTTAAAAAAGGTAGTGAATATTTGTGATAATTTGACCATGTTGATACAGTAAATGAAGGTTACAAAACTGTTCGAAACTAAATGGTGTTGGGCTATTGCTTTCTTTAGAGTACGGGGACATAATTCATAGTTTTTAATAAATTTGGTCAAGCAGTGATAAAGTGTGTTATGCTCTGATATCAGTGGTGAGTTATTACTGTTATAAGTGGGCAAAAAAATGAAAATAAAGAAACTTTGAAAACTATCCTACCATAAATTAGTATGAAAATTATTAGTGTGCATTTATCAAACAAATCATCTATGATATTGCCCTAAATTCATGCGGCCGTTCGACTTATTAACCATTGTCATATTTTTCTCCGTTCAGAAATTATTGTCAAAGTTCGTGCCAAAAAGGTCCAAATTCTGTACAGAATGTGATTTATTATTTATGAAACCTTAAGGATGTATATGGTATGTATATAATCATGCAGTCCTGAGTCTAATAATGATATAACGTACTCGGCTGTCTTTATAATATCCTTATTATGAGATGGAAGACGATCAAAAAATTCTGTGGCAAAATGATTGCTCGATCTACAGAAGATAAAAATAAAATTCATACTGATTGCGATTAACGCAGAATACGATATAAAACTAACGGCACTCGAACAAATATTAGAGGACAGACGAAGCAAGAGAAGTGATTATTGGGTAAGAATCGAAAATGTTCAGAAAAGCATGGGTATTTATAGTTATTAGCATTAGCTATGACATCTTTAAAGTGCAGCCAATCCTCAAGAAGGCAAATTAGGCTAGTGTTCAATCGCAGCATGCAACGTTGATATTCTAGAAAACCCCATCAGGTTCTGATTAAGTGGAAACTCTACAGCTCCTTTAAGGTCGTTGGAGGCTCCATAGTGGTTCTCGAAAGCTGTCTTAACAATAACCACAACGCAATTATTATTATTATTAATGGCTTTATTCAATATTAAAGAATAAAGTGATGTTACAATTTTCTTATTAAAAATTTGAGAAATCCATTTTGAAACTAATTACTAGAGAGCACAATAACTCAGAAAGATGAGATATAGTGATGAATGTATTGTTTAATGCTACCTATTGCCTTACGACAGATGAATATTCACTTCACTTCTGATTTATTTCATTTACATAATTAAAGTAAATTTAACTATTTATTTATGAAAATGAGGACAATACCTTTTATATTGTTATCAATAAGAATCAAGAAAAAAATATGTACATTTCATGAAGTTGTAATCTGCATTATACTGTAGTGAACGAGAACACAAGTGGGGACAATCAAATCGATTTGAACATAAAACTACATAATATCTTAGTAAAATTTGGGAACTATACTGCAAATACTTCATTTGCAAAATATCAATCATTCATCTCAGACTTTATTGTTCCTTCAATTACACACCAATCATTCTCTGTTCTTGTACTCTGTTCTTCTATCTTCTTAACCTTCTTACTACTTACTGACTTACGCCTGTTACTCCTCGTGAAGGAGCATAGGCCGCTCACCAGCATTCTCCATCCAACCCTGTCTTGGGCAATCCTTTCTAGCTCCGTCCAGTTGTAATTCATCGCTTTCATATCTGCTTCTATTATCCGACGCAATGTGTTCTTTGGCCTTCCTCTTTTTCGCTTCCCTTCAGGATTCCAGGTTGGGGCTTGCCTCGTGATGCAGTTTGACGATTTGCGTAATGTATGTCCTATCCATTTCAATCGTCTTTTCCTAATTTCTTCTTCAGCTGGAAGTTGGTTTGTTCTCTCCCACAGAAGGCTATTGCTGATGGTATCCGGCAGATGGATGTTGAGTATCTTGCGTAGACAGCTATTTATAAATACTTGTACTTTCTTGATTGTGGTTGTTGTAGTTCTCCAAGTTTCAGCTCCATACAGTAGAACTGCCTTGACGTTGGTATTGAAGATTCTCACTTTGATATTGGTTGAAAGTTGTTTTGAGTTCCATATGTATTGTGTATCGCGAGGTGACTACTCTAACTTCTACCGATTGACCAGCTTCAGATATCCCAGTTCGACCCCAATACTGTTCCCAATCTCCAATATATCAGAACACGAACCGTAGATGAAAAATTGTTTATGGGGTCAGGAGCCGAATAATGATTTACAAACAAATGCATATTTATACAGTTAGGATTACTATAAATATTGACCAACAGAAAGATAACACGTGAAATAATATTGACCAATGGGGAAATGACACGCGAAATAAATATTGATTAGTAGGGAAACGTCCAATAGGAAAATGACACCATTTAACGTTCAAGGGTAGCATTAGACTTAACCGGATAATTGTTTTTGGGATATTTTTCTGAATATCCCAACACCTCCCCTTGGAAAAGTTAATAGCGACGTAATCGAGGATTTACTTGAAGTTTCTTTGGGTGTCTTCTTTTGCGATCCGACCTCCGAGGCAACCACACAGAACCAGAAGGATGTTCTACTTGAGTAGATGACTTAGTCGTCTTTGTTGGAGGTATTGGCGGAAGTTGAAACGTGTCCAACAGCAGGTCAAGTGGAACGCTTTTTGTAATTGCTTCTTTCTCCTTCGCTTCCCTTGGCCTGACTTGATTGTGGTGCCTGGTCCAGATTTCTTGGTTCACTTTGACATCATACATGACGTTCCCGTGTTTCTTTGTGATTTCACCCTCTACCCATCTATCACATCCGTGTCTATAGTCTCGCGCGTACACTTTTGTACCAACTTCGTAGGGAATTCGAGTATTCTTCATCTGGGGGTTTTGTTGCGCCACTTGCTTAGGTTTCATCGCAAAATGAACTGTCCGTAGCTTTCGCCCCATAAGCATCTCAGCAAGGGATTTGGAGTTTGGCAATAAGTCATGCGGGGTCGTCCGGTACGCAACTAGGAATCGTTCTATGATATCTTCTGTGGTCCCCTCCCCTCGTGATTTAAGCATAGCTCGCTTAAATGTATCAACGAACCTTTCAGCTTGTCCATTAGATTGCGGGTGATATGGTGGAGAACGGACATGGTTTATCGAGTTTTGGAGGCGAAATTCTCGGAATTGGCTAGATGTGAATTGTGAACCATTGTCTGTTACTATTGTTTCTGGAAGACCATGCTGAGCGAAGATCCGATTAAGGAGTTTGATGGTTCGAGTTGTAGAGGGTGGCGCAATTGGCAATATCTCCGGCCATTTGGAGTAGGAGTCAACCAGTATCAGATATGTGGTACCATCTAGGGGTCCGATGGAGTCAATATGCACTCGCGACCAGGGTTTTTCCGACTTTGGCCAGGGTACTGGATTCAACTTAGGATTTTTCCCAGCTTTTTGACAATGCGAGCATCTTTTGACGAAGTCGACAATCTGCTTGTCCATATTCGGCCAATATGCATAACTGCGAGCGATGGATTTCATACGGTTTATACCTGGGTGTCCAGAGTGGAATTGGTGTAGGATCTTGGAACGTAGGGTTGTTGGGATTACTACGCGATCACCGAACATCAGACAATCGTTAACAATACAGAGAGCACTGCGACGATTCGCTAGCTGTTGTATATCACCACTCAGCTGCTTAACTGGCCATCTACTCTGAACATAGGTGATCGCTTTTTGGATAATCGGGTCCTCTCTGGTAGCTTCCCGAACATCTTCAGCGGTAACAGGCATTGCTCGAATGGCATTCGCTAATACTGTAGCACCGGAATCCTCTTCGGTTGATACTATGGCTATGAGTGTGTCCTCATCAGTAATAGAATGGTTACTGATAAGTCTGGACAGTGCATCCGCTTGACCAAAATCTTCGGAACGTCGATACTGGATGTCGAAGTCGTACCCCAATAACACCAACGCCCAACGTTGAAGACGATTAGCAGAATGGGCAGGAATGCCTTTCTTTGATCCAAAGATTGATAACAAGGGCTTGTGGTCTGTGAGCAAGGTGAAACGGCGTCCGTAAATGAATTTGTGGAATCGCCGGATAGCAAAAATTAGGGCTAACGCTTCCTTCTCTATCTGACCGTTGCGTTTTTCAGCAGGTGTTAGTGTTCTCGAAGCATGCATCACCGCTTTCTCTGACCCATCGGGAAAGACATGTGAAAGTACAGCACCCAGTCCATGTGTTGAAGCGTCAGCAGCAACCACAATGGGTAGTTTCGGATTGTAGTGGGTTAGCAGAAGATTGGAACTTAGCATGGCTTTAAGTTTTGAAAAGGCTGACTCACATTGCGTTGACCAATTCCAAGTAGCATTCTTTTCTAGCAGACGATTCAGTGGATATCGTACGTCATGTAGTGATGGAAGAAATGCTGAATAGTAGCTAATCATTCCCAAAAATGTTCGCAGTGAGGAGACATCAGTGGGAGCAGGCATTTGTTGAATTGCGTAAGTATTTTGAGGATCAGGATGTCGTCCGGAAGCATCAAAAATAAACCCCAGGTACTTAACGAAACGTAAGAAGAAATTGCATTTTTCTGGGCGAAGGCGAAAACCATTATCCTGAAGGCGTTGCAGAACTAAGTGGGTTCTGGTATTCAATTCATCAGCAGTTGAGCCGACAATGAGGACATCGTCAAGGTACGTAGCAACACCAGGAACATCTGCTAGAATAGTGTCCATGATCTGCTGGAAGATCGCTGGAGGAGTTTTGATACCAAAGGGTAACCGAGTATACTGAAAAAGTCGTCGGTGAGTGTTGATTGTCAACAACTCTCTGGATTCTAGAGCGACTGGAATTTGAAGGTAAGCATCTGCCAGATCCAGCTTAGCAAAATAGGTACCACCATTTAAAATAGTAAATAAGTCATCTGGGATCGGCAGCGGATAGTGATGCTGTTGTAGAGCCGCGTTGAGTCCTGTGGAAAAGTCTGCACAGATGCGTATGGAACCATTAGATTTTTTTACAACCACAATTGGTGCGGCCCAAGATGAATAAGAAACAGGTACCAGAACACCCTCAGTTTCTAAACGTTGAAGTTCAGCGTCAACCAGAGGTAAAGATGCGTATGGAACTGGACGCTTTGGACGAAAAACTGGCGTAGCTTCTGGCTGCAGTCTTAAAACAGCTTCAGTTGTGGTACAAAATCCAAGACCAGGCTGAAATAGTTCAATAAATCGTTTTCGAAGGTCTTCAGCATGCTGTTGTGTCGATGCAGTAGTTTGAACTTGATTGCAGATAGCATTAATAGGAAGATCAGCGAGACCAAGTTCTTCGAACCAATCTAAACCTAAAAGGTTGAGCGGAGAATTGGTGATATAGCATGTCCCATCGAAGGTTGTACCTCTGAATGAAATGCAGCAACGGAGTTCACCATGAAGGCGAAGATGACCCCCACAGGCACTGACGGCTGTCTGAGAGGATGGTTTGATGGGAGGTTGACCCAAGGTTCACCAAGTCTTTTTCGACAGAATGGTGATATCTGATGCAGTGTCCAACTGCAAACGAACTGGCTGACCATTGATTGAGAGGGTCAGAAATTTGCGTCGAGTCGCGGCATGAGTATGGAAGACTGCTGCTAGACTCCTTGATGAGGTAATCGGCTTTTTGTGAAAACGACGCTGTGCATTTCGACGGTTATTGGATCGTTTGGATTTGCAAAAGCCGCTTTTGTGACCAACTTTCTGACAGCGATCGCATACATGCTGTTTGAATGGACAAAACTTCACATAGTGCCAGGCTCCACAATGCCAACATGGAGAGGGGGGCTTCTTCTGAGCCGGTTTAGAGTGATTAGAGACAGAAACAGCGCTGGCGTTCGAAAGACTCGAGGTCGTCGATCTCGAAGATTTTTTTTTGGTGTTGAACAGCATGAACTTCGGAACCACCCTGGCCACCAGATTGAACCAAAGTGGTGTCACGCTGCAGATTGATGATGCGCTGGTACTCGTCTATGATCGCATTGAGTGTCAGTGTTGGATCTTGTTCAAGGCGGTTTAGCAAACGAGTTCTGATGTCGGAGAATTTGGGTGACTGAAGACTGCATATGAGTATTAGGGACTTGAATTGGTCTTCAGTGAGGGATCTGAGCTTGAATCGTTCGCACTCACGGTTAACAACGCCGACGTGGGTCAGGAAGTCATCGGACTCATTCATGATCATTTTTAAGCAGCGATATCGAGTACTGAAGAGTGAGTGATGATCACCAAAAAGTTGGCTAAGGGACTGAATAGTGGCGTCGAATGAACGGTCGCGTGGGTTCTGCGGTAGAATAAAGTTGCAATACTTATCCAGCTCTGATGGACCAAGTTTACGAATCAGGAGACGCACCTTCCACGCATCATCTCTGTCAGCAAAGTCAACTTTGAAAAGGTCTTCATAACGTCTGAACCAGGTATCAAATGTAATGTTGGCATCAGGATCATAAAGGAATTCTGAAATACCACTGGTAATACCATCAACTGATTCAGGAATTGTCGGTGTAGTTGGAACTCGAGAAGATATGTGCGTGTGAGCAATCATCTCCATCAGCTTCAACTGCTGTTCGAACAATTTTTCTAGTTTGGCTGGATCCATGGTTAATCACCAAATTCTTTGCTGAATCTCCGTCGCCAAATTATTGTGTATCGCGAGGTGGCTACTCTAACTTCTACCGATTGACCAGCTTCAGATATCCCAGTTCGACCCCAATACTGTTCCCAATCTCCAATATATCAGAACACGAACCGTAGATGAAAAATTGTTTATGGGGTCAGGAGCCGAATAATGATTTACAAACAAATGCATATTTATACAGTTAGGATTACTATAAATATTGACCAACAGAAAGATAACACGTGAAATAATATTGACCAATGGGGAAATGACACGCGAAATAAATATTGATTAGTAGGGAAACGTCCAATAGGAAAATGACACCATTTAACGTTCAAGGGTAGCATTAGACTTAACCGGATAATTGTTTTTGGGATATTTTTCTGAATATCCCAACAATATGTTCTTTAACTGTAGGAATGCTGTCCTTGCTTTGCCAAACCTTGCCTTTACGTCTGCATCTGAACCTCCTTGTTCATCGATGATGCTTCCCAGGTATGTGAAGGATTCTACATCTTCCAGAGTTTCACCATCAAGAGTGATTGGATTGTTGTTTTCCGCTTTGAAAAGTTATGAAATTGAACTTATGAAAAATTAATAATTACTACAATATTACATCATATATTTACAGCACGACAAAAATAAACTGAAGATATTTCATACTATATTAACGTAACTTTATGTAACATTTGTGTTTGATACATGAAAAAGAAAAAAAACGGAATGAACACAAAAGACAGGTCGAAAAAGAAACAGAATCAATAACTAAAATTTACTACTAACCTTGATAAACCAGGAAATCACCACCCATTTTTACAGTGGATGTACTAATATAATAACCTTTATTCCATAAATCCATATAAATCAAACAAGATTGTAAACGTTGAATATACATATCTTGTGTACTACTAATGTTATTTTGATCATCAGTATGCTGATTAGAAAAATTTGTTGCTTTACATTTCTCTTGAATCAACTGGATTAGCCAATTGACAACTAAAAAAAAAGTAAAATCAATACTATATACAACAGCGGAAAGGGAGCTGTGGAGAATTATTTGATTTACGAGAGACTGTTCTTAGTCCAGTGCTCTCTGGTTCGCAATTATACTCGATCTAACATTATTCTGTGGTGAATGTATATGATCTCGTAAAACCCAGCTTCATAGTCAGAGACGTGACTGACCTCCTGTAGTACTGAGATGTACTCATAATTGATTGATAGAATCCGTCAGGGAGCATGAGTTCCTTCAAGATTACAGGCACCCCTTGCTGACAAGAGATAAATAGCACGAAACTTAGGTCTAGAGTCTACTGTTGACTACCTCCAAGCACCAGCTTACATTTAAACATGGTGCACGCAATTTCGAGTCGTTTAGATTAGTAGCCATATTGCGAGTTGATCGATAGGATTCGATCAGCAATAAAGAAGGACCTGACATACATGACATTGGTCGCCATTCATTGGTCAATCAACTTTAAAAAAAATAATTATCGTCTAATTTAATTAGATGTCAACTTTCTCAAGAGTTATTTTACAGATACTAAATCATTCACTAGAACAAAACAGTAATGAACAAATAACGAATACAAATGAAATAATTAAGTGGAAAATTTTGAAATTTGATATTTTAAAAATATCGGAAATTGTAACGGAACAATGCACTAATAACTTGAGGGAAACATGTTAACCAAAAAAACGAAGAGATTAAGGATTTTACCAAGGTGAAGCTAAATGTTTACCATATTTAGAGATACGTCGGTCAGAACGAAACAGACGCGGCCTGGATAGCTCAGTGGTGACATCTCTGACTGTGAAGCTGAGTGACACGGGGTCGAATCCGATAGGGAGCACCAGTTCCCTCAAGATTACAGGCACACCTTGCTGACGAGTACCAAGTAGCACGAAACCCGGGTCCGTGGTTTCTCAAAGAGCCCCCAAATGCCCTGGTACGGCCAAGAGTGGGAAGAGTCCGCTCTCCCTCTCAAAATGCTCTCACACGGTCACGTGTATATAGCTTCTGCCAGGGAAGTCCCACTCACTGCCTTCTCGTGGCAGGGATATTGATTACGAAATTGAGAGGACGAAAAGTGAATGTCCTGCGCTTTAACCGGGTTAGTGGACATGGAGAGTCCACCTAGGGGAGCTGGAAAACCCTGATTCCAAACCACTGATGTACATGGGCTCCAGTATCCTGAAGGAACAAATGGCGTATGAACCAACTGTTGGTCACCGGCTACCGTGGGACTTCATCTTCTTACCATGCTCCACTGCCTTGTGGATCAAACATTCAGGTCGAAGGCTCCAAGTGTGGCCCCCTAAGAAAACCACCTGCTCCGGTTCGGGCACCCGGTTAGTATCACAGCCCTCACACACATCAAATGAAATTTGTGTGGCGCACATGTATTTGGTGCCTCCGTGTACCAATACCTATGTGTTAAAATTAATAAATAAATAATAACGAAACAGATATTTAGCATTATCCAATATTAAAGAATTGCCTCTCTCTTTGAAATACTTAGTCTATGTGTAAATTTCATTTAAAACTTGTCAACTGAAATGAAATATGATAATAGTATAATTAATAACTATCAAACACTAATGATAGAGAGCAAAGAAATTAAGTGTAATTACATCAATATTATGATTGTTTCGACAAAGTGACTAACTTGAATAAAGTCCCTCAGAAAATACACTTTCTGGCAAACTAACAAACACATATTCGTCAGGACGTCTCCATTCAATAGGTGTAGGACGTGGTAAATGTTGTGGAATGTGCGGTAAAGATTCCTTAATGTTTTCACTTGATATCACAGACAATCTCGATGTTCCTTGACGTGTATTAGAATGTTCAGAAATTAGGTCATCCAGAGTGATAGGTGAATCAGAGAGCTCAAAAACGTCTTGATCACTGTCATAAATATTGCAATGATCATCGTCATTACCAACACTACAAGAGTCATTCGTAAACATTTGTTTTTTCAATTGTTTCTGAAGTAAACGTCGTTGGCGGCGTCGTTTTCTAGTTGATATCTGTAAAGCTACATATTTTGAGCAAATACACGAAAGAGAAAGAAGATAACTAATTTTACATCATTCATGTATGATTGTTGATAAAAACTGGAAGTAAAAGCGTTTAACAGGGACGTAATAATGAGGATTATGTAAAAAATATTTTAATGAGAATAGACGAAAAAGTATCGGTAAGAGAAAAGGAATGAATGAATAATTCTATCGCTTACATCACAGACTGATATTAGTAAGACAACCATAGTATGAAGTTTTTTGGCAGTAAATATCTACGACCACGCAACCAAAAACTGGAATCGAAACCCTTATGTATCGTGTTGAGTGCCTAATTTTTATACCACTGAGCCGGGAGTCAGTGGTTCACAAGTTTAATTTTAATCAATTCACGATACCGTGCAACCATCTTCCGACGTCATTGGTAGGCAACTAACTGCCTCACACTGGACGTGGTTGAAATATAAACAAATAATTATATTAGTAAAATATTGCATTCCACAGGAAAAAAAACTACCTAAATCCTATAAACAAGGAAATAAATAAAGTTTACACCAGAAACTAAATTTAGTTTATGATAAATTGTGAAACTATGATAGTAGTTTCTCCCATATTAGGTTTGTTTTAATGAAGTAATCACTTTTGTAAACCTTGTAATGAACTCTGTTAGAAGCCCACATCCTACTAATATGTTAAATAACAGAAAATAAATGCCAAAATACAATGATAAATGGCATATTTCCATGGTGTCAATTGTTTGCAATAATGAGAGGAGAATATATACATTGCAAGTCATACATCAACCATACTATCCAGGGAGAAAATGATCAAAAAATCTCACAGTTGAAGTCAAATATCACTTAAATACTGTTTCACAAGCCTTTAAATTTTTGTCTTTTGAATAGTTACAAATGAAGTGTATGTGTTAAAGTGAAATTTACAATGGTATAATGTATTTTGCATTTGGAATTCTTTTCTACGATCAAATATATAATATTGAACAAATCAATAGTTATCATTGAACCATAGAAAACTGAAGAAAGATAAGGAACTGTTTTGTTTTAGTATCTAGGTGCTTACTCAAGATGTTTACTTAATGCATACTCAAGATCGAGAGAGTAGTTGAATCTACGACTTCAGAACTCATGGCAAGAGCATTAATGAAATAAAAGAATTGTGATACAGATTTGTAAACTCCCTGACTTAGTCGAACCATTTTATTTAGCGAACATCATCGACTGTTGTCAGTCATGTATCATGCACCTGAAATATTTACAATTATATCAGTAAACAAAGTCTGATAACATATGATAATATAAACTCTTTGATAAAAAAGAACACAATAAAATTATATGGAGGGTAAAACCAATAACCCTTTTTTAACAAACGAATCAATGTACTTACATGGATTTAAATTATTTGTGTCATAGTTTTGTGAACACCCATTATCGTCGACTGTATTGACTGGTGATGAATCATTGTGATTGAATAACTTGGATCTGGCTTGTCGTTGTTGACGTAACTTTAAACCATTCAATAGCTGACCATAGTAACCAACTGATTTTAATCGTTTTTGAGTTTGAAATATATTGACCTGTCGTTGAAAAAAGAGAATTTATAAAGTTAAAAGATTAAAGATAAAATTAAGTAGGATTCTAACCAGAATAATGAAAACAGTAAGTGATATTTTCTAGTGATGTTATCAAACTTGATTTAAAAGAAAGGTCTATCTATGTAGTAATGGACATACATTTACTGGATAGTAATTTCATCTGTAATACCATACATATATGTTAAAGACTGATAATGGAACTAGAAGACGTAAGTAATTTGGTTATTAGTTATTCAAAAGTGTTTTTAAAACATTGCCTAGGTATGAAAGAACCATTGAATTGGTTACAGTAAACTTAGGTACACAGTACTACGTAAATGTGATAAATCAGTTGATATAACTGTGAACGTTTACTTAATGAAACGATCAACGTATTTATTACCCAGATTCAACGGCTGCCAACACTGATATTTTAAGCTAGCAAGCATAGGATCAGATTAAAAGATACTTAGGGGTGATTAGTTCAAATTATGTCATTAGTTTATGAAATAATTTATGATTAAATTGAATTGCATCAGGATATGGAAAGTTTCTATTTAAAATAATTTCAATAATCGTAATCCATAATTGAAAACTACATGATCGAGTAAAGTCTTAAAGATATCTAATGCGTCTAATTTAAGTAAGTACAACTAATCAAATATTGAAACAACAGATCATTTGTATAGTATTTTATAAACTTATATTTATGTATCTATAAATATCAATCAAAAATTACCATTTCTTCTGCATTCTTCATTAATGCATCATGATATGCTTCAATTGTTTCTTTTGATGGTTCAGCAACAGAAATTACTGGTCTACTACATAAAATACCATGAATAAAACCTTTAGATAATAATAAAGCAACTTCTTCAAAACTTAATCGTACAGGTAATCGATCTGGTTTTTTTGATTTATTATGATAACATCCTTTGAATAAATCTAATGGTAATGAAGCCCGACCAATAATTCGATAATTACGACGTAACCAAATAACAGCTATATAGAATAATAATAAAAGAAAATAACCATAATATAAATCGGTATATAAACAATTTGTCGAAAAGATAAATTAATGAAGTCAATAATTTTGTCAATAATACAGTATAAACAACAGAATAGAAACAAACAAACAAACAACCAAATTGTAATGAAATGATAGTACACTAATAAACAAGAAAGAAAAAAGCATAAATAAAGCACTTTATACGTAAATAGACTTTTGTTTTAGGGAAAATACACACTAGCAAATAAATAAATAGGCATTGGATATTTAAAGAAAAAAAAAACTTAAGCTAAATACATTCCATTGAATAGTGAACTTAAGAAATATATATGTACGTAATTTGTATTTGCTATAAGGTAGTGCATTCTATTACGAAACAACAGTATGTATTCAATATCGGTAAAAAAACATTCTTAAAAGCATAAAGAATAGACAACAAAAATACACACAATTTCATTAAATAGTCACTCGACTTTTATAAATATGAATATACAGGTTGGTGAAGAATTCCTTCCAATTAAACGACTGTCAGAGAATTTTAATAACTAAAAACTATTAAATAACTAATCAATGAATATGACGGATTTACCTCCGAAATAGACAATTCTAACCCTACGTCTTATTTGATATAATCTAGATTATGAATACCTATGTTATTTATTCAATGGATAGTAATCAATGTAATCCTATTTTATTTGAGTGATCATAGAACTTTAGTAATCAAACCCCCAAATGCCCTGGTACGGCCGAGAGTGGGGAGAGTCCGCTCTCCCTCTCGAAATACTCTCACACGGTCACGCGTATATAGCCTCTGCCAGGGAAGTCCTACTCACTGCCTTCTCGTGGCAGGGATATTGATTACGAAAATGAGAGGACGAAAAGCGAATGTCCGGCGCTTTAACCGGATTCCAAACCAATGGTGCACATGGGCTCCAGTATCCTGCGGGAACAAATGGCGAATGAACCAATTGTTGGTCACCGGCTTCCATGGGACTGCATCTCCTCACGATGCTCCACTGCCTTGTGGGTCAGACCTTCAGGTCGAAGGCTCGGGGTGTGGCCCCCTAAGAAAACCACCTGCTTCGGTTTGGGCACCCGGGCAGTATCACAGCCCTCACACATATCGAATGAGATTTGTGTGGCGCATATGTATTTGGTGCCTCTTTGTACCATTATCTATGTGTTGAAATAAATAAATAAATAAATAGAAATATTCAACCTATTTTCAATTCTAAACATTTCAGGAATAAGCTAATAGCAGACTTTTTAAAAAGTGATACATACTGACAAGAGAAAATAGTTAGGAAGAAAAATTCGGAGAATAAACGTAAAACTATATCAAATACATTCATTATATTATCGTAATACAAATTGATGCATTAAATCTTTAATTATATAGAGTAGTTGTGATACATGATGGATAAACTAGACTCTTAATTATATTAGTCAAACATTTACATATGGTTGTATCTAGTTAGATTGTAAGACAACTGGAGAATATATATTACTGGTATATAACCACTATATGTTACTGAATTACATTCACATCTTTTATATATATATTGAGTTGATTGTAACGATAATATATGAAAACTGAAAATAACACTGACTTTTTCATCGAAGTAAATGATAAAGCTATAAGCGTAATGGATGAATAATTATTGTTAATGAAAACAACTCGAGTCATAAATTAAAACAAACGGTATCATAAAATCCAATAAAACGTACACTAATTAATAAATTCGAAATATATTTTGTACATAATTGAAATTATTATTATAGTGATATAGTCCGGTGGCCTGGTGAAACGTTTGTGTCATCATTTATTTATTTAAACACATAAACATTGGTACATGGAGGCACCAGATACATATGCGCCACATAAATCATTCGATTTATGTGAGAGCTGAGATACTATCCGTGTGCCTAAACCGAAACAGATGGTTTTCTTAGGGGGCTATACCCGGAGCTTTCGATCTAAAGGTCTAATCCAAAAGGCAGTGGAATAACGTCAGGAGATGTAGTCATCATATTGCTAAATGTGCATTGATTGTCAAAAATCATCCTGTTCTATTGGTTTTTTAATTACATTACTTAAGCATTTCAATAAAAATGCTTCTAGAAAATGTTTATAACTTATAATGAATCTGATGATCAAAAATTTAAGAAGTACCACCATGGTGGTCTGTATATTTTCCTCATGATCGTCTGTCCTTTGGAGAAATGAAAGATGGTTCCTAGAGAATTCATGCATCAAATATATTTATCGATAGAAAAAGATATGATCGGAGCATAAATTATGGATAAACATATAAAAATGGTAGTAAACGAATGTTCAAAAGCTTTTGATTCATACTTTTCGAATACTCACAATTCAAATATTCATAAAATGAAAATTTTGCTGTCATGTTGTATATTTTGTACTGAGAATGCTTTACTGTAGTTGAACATTTGGAATGAAATAAGACGAGCAGTTTTATTATCATTATCATGGGCATAGCTGTAGCTCCGAGTCATTTTAAAACATTCAACAAACACTTACTGAAGCAGAAAATAAGTATGAAAGTTTTTTAAAAAAATGCTGTACAATGCGACTAACCTTCCGCAGTCCATACTAGGAATTCACCAAAAGGAGTTAGATTGACACATTCCATATGATGCGATTGTGAATCTGATTTGAATGGTTGATTTGACTAAGTTGTTTTTTACACAAAAAGAAAACAAATTATATGAGTTGGTGTTATTTAATGTGTTAAAACCTTATAAAGTTGAGTCTAAGTAACTGAGTAATATTGAATTATATATATATATATATATATATATATATATATATATATATATATATATATATATATATATATATTCTATGATAGCTATTCTGTAATGGACTGATATCCGTTGAAGAACTGTTAGAAACTAAAATGTACTGGACACAACTGTTACATTCTAATTTGATACTATGTACAACCACTGCGTATACCTAGAACCCAACACAAGATTCGAATCAGGATGTCTAAATCTGACGGCATACATGTTGTTTACAATGGTTCCCTTTGTAAGGTTAAGTGAATCAGTGAGTACAGTTCGCTCGTAACTAATAAAAGTCTCATTCTTGATATTTTCTAACAATACTGTACACTGGATCTGTCTAGTGTTTCGGAAATCCACCTTGAAGTTATTCATTAGGGTGGGTTATTTGATTTAACAAATTCATAGAACCTAAACGAATGAAGAAAGTTTTAGTCAGACTGACAAACAACAGAATCGTATTTTTAGATTATATTCCCACTGAATTGGACCAATACCCATAAACCACTTACCAACACAAGGTCAGTATGTGAGGAACAATGATTGTTTACTCGATTACATTTAAACATTGATCTGATCAAATAAAGAAATACCTTTGGTTATGTATTGAACAAAATATATGCTAAATAGTGTTATGCTTTGTAGCGATATCATCTTATGAAAACCGACTATTTTATGTATGAAAGAAATCCCTTTGCATATGGTTACATTAACACAGACATATTTGTGAGCAAGATCAACTTTTCACTTTAATGTTCTATTAAATCAACAAATGTGAAATCATGCACATTTAATTTTTTTAATTATTCAGTACGGAGTATGAATGTAATGTTTTTTGCATTCAAGAAAAGCAAACTGTAATCATAATTATTTTTAGCACTATTGATCTGACAGTCAAATAATTTACCGACCAACTATGAATATATATACATAAAATAAATCAATAAGTAAACAAAATTATTAATTTGTCTATAAAAATGGACTATACCAACATAGATTGATCAATCTTTTATGAAAAGTATGCCAGCTACATATTAAGAACGCCAGTTGATCAGTATCGATAAGCAAATCTGTAACTTAATGGGATTGCCTTGATAGCATGTTTGATCACAAGTTATACAAGTGCATATGGTGGATACTACAGTTCAGTGTCATAGACTGATCACCTCTTCGTTTTTCTCACCCTATCCCAGTGTCTTTAGGTGGTTATACCATGAGCCTAATGTTGATGTTCACACAAAGACTCAAGCATAATACCTTTCACTACAAATACTAATATATTATATACTGATCTATTGTGTTTAGATAGAAAATAACTTGGTTCTACTGCTATCAACGATTCAATTTTGCTGAAATTTGTATGTTACTTATTTTAAAATATAATCATATGTTAACTAAGTATACGGTTAATAACTACATACGTACAAGACAAGAAATAAGATTTGAAAATAGAACCAATTACTAACTAGAAAACCTTTAATATGTTATATATTTATTTCAAATACTAGATTTATAAAGATATCCTAGGGTGTATATAAGATATTTAAGCGTGATATAAATTTGTAAGTTTTTTGCTCTTAATAAGCACTATGATAATGAAGATTTTTTCTTATCGAGTAAAAAGGCAATCAAAATACACGTTCTGCATTTAGATAAAAAGTAGAATATATTCACAAAAGTAAACATCTATTCAGTTATTAATAGTTTTACAAAAAATCATTCAGGAAAAAAAATAGAAATGCAAATAAAGTTACTTAACAACATCGATGCATATCGTTTATGACCAAGTATTGACTTTATATTTTTAGATAAATTGAACATTGAGTGTACCATTTATGACAATAAAATAATAGATGTTTTTAATATCCCTATTAGTCGGAAATTAAATTAATGACGTTTTGCAACTTAGTGTAGATCATGTCTTCAGAGAATATACAAATCAATAACCAGATTAATTTAACACAAGTTTACAAAGTACAGAGGAAAAAGCAGAATATTTAATGCAATCAAAATAGATCTAGTCATGTTATCTAGATCAAGTTCATTCTGTGTTCTGTTTCATTTACAGACCATAAATCATATCTATAAAATAACATGCAATTAAATAAAATTCGGGTTTTCAAGAGGTCAAACATGTAAACTACACGAAATTCACCACATATAAGTATTTTAATTACACAAAATAAACTGCAAAAGTGAGGTCAAAGTTTTTAGAAATCTTATTTTTTTACAACTATTTTATTCCAATCTTATATTAATAAGTTTGAATATAAGACACCTGTCGACACAATAGTATCCAAGTAGGTTATTGTTAAGAAGAGATGATATGTCAGAAATCCAGTCTCAAGTTCAACTTTGATCTAACACACAATTAGCTAAGCCAGTTAAACTGAAAGTATGCCATTCACACTTACTGTTGAAGATTAGTTAACTAGTGATATATCTTCCCTCCTCAAAAATGATTTTGAACATTTAATTGAGAACTTTAAGAATCTAGCACTACTTATTCCTGGAAGATTTAGCAGTCTATCTTTTCTGTGTCACCACAGTATGAGTAGGTATGGTAGGTGCTTTGTATCCTCGAGGTGTTAAGTATTTTTCAGGGCTAACAGTAATCTGAGGCTGCAATCACTGTTGGAAATATACCGTTAGAAGCTTGAAAGTTCATGAATTTGTGTAGTTGCGTGAGTATTGGTGATCTGACTAATGAAATCAGTATACAAATAGCGGAAGTCAGAGTGCCTTGTACAAATCTAGCTTTCATGATGTTATTCTAACTGTAAATGTGTGGGTTTACAACGTATCGGTGAGAGCGATTCTGTACTGTGCTCTTGAAATCTGACCTCTCCAATTTGAAGATCTTAAGCGGCTCTCTGCGTTTAATTATAGTGATCCCCAAAAGCACGAGACGGTTAATTTATGACATGGCGCCATGGTGTGGAAATATTGCGATATGACTCTCTGGTTGGAGTCCAGAAGATGGTGCAACATAGTAAATCAAGACGTTACCACACACGGCTCAAAACAGAACCAATAATGACGCTATTTTACATTTTTCAAAAATGTGTGAGGAACTCCTTTAAACGAAAGAATTCTAAATTGTAGCATTTATATTTTCAACTAAACTGTCTATCCTATTACACATTGCTCTTGATAACTATTTTTCTATTAACACTTTTCTTCTTCTCTTCTAAAGTCTTCCGTTTTCCTCACAAAGGTATTCTTGCTTTATGTGGCGCGTTACATTTCTTTGGTGCTATGCTGTAACCAGAATTTTATGCGCTAGCATAAATGACTAAATTAAGTGTTGCACTTCGTTAGATTATGTATGAACTCACAAATAGTACAATCTACCAGGAGTTAACTCTTTAAAAACAATCAGTAAAATATTCTGATTACTCTACAATAAGGTGTAGTATATCACGTTTTTTTTAATTTTTAAATTAACACATGTACCATTATGCAATAAAGGGCATATGTAATCTGTCAGATTAGATTCTATACAAAAGCTAACGAATAATATCATTATATAATCTTAAATTTGACTGCAGAGATACAATCCAGTCATGAAACAATTTGGTTAGACAAACGATCAGTAGAGCGTTGATTGAGTGAATAAAATACTAGTCAAACCTCCCTACATCTACTTTAGCATGGGCAGCTAAATGGTAGTACAAACGTTCACACGAAAACAAAATTTGACTCGCAGCCGAATACTAAAACATATAAGTAGTGAGTAACGTAGGAAAGTCACACACACACACACACACAAACATTACCAAAAATATTTTAGAACAAGAAGCATTCAATCAATTCTATCTACATACATAAACAGTACAAAACTCCTATTCAAATGTCGAAAAAGACCTAACACACTTTCCGAAGAAAGTATATATTTATACCAGGAAAGAAAATACTAGAAATCTGTTAGCATATATACAATATGACATATAAATAGACTACATTTTGAAGACAAAACTCTGTGAAATGAATAGATAAAATGGGAAAGATAAAAAGAAATACTAGAGTGTATGCAAATATGAACAATATTCACAAGAGATAATGTACATTTTCTTCTAAAACAAAAGATAATTTTTATGAATAAAAATTATTGGACTGTATTAAGCGTAAGTCTAAAGGTGGTGGTTGTACGCTATAACCTCCTTCTCCACCGACTTCTTCAGTTAAGGTTGTTTCTACTGTCGTCGTTAGTGTATCTGATGGAATATAATAGTTATTCATTGATGAGATATGTGTATCTAGTATTTTCAGTTCACTACTGATTACGGTCTTGTTAGTAGTATCATTGTGACTACTAGTAGTAAAAAAAGTTGACGTTTCATTTGGACGATAAATAGCATTTTCAGGATAAATTATAACTTCAGGGAATTCTGTTTCGCATTCTTCATCATTATTAGTAAGTAAGAGGTCGGTAAAACTGAAACCTGGTTCAGGATCCCATATTGTATGTGTTGTAAAGAATGTATTATCGGTACATTCATTTGACGATTCAAAAAACAATGTTGTACAATGTTGTGAAGAACTTAAATCAATTGGATTTACAGTTATTATATCTACAGAGGGATCAAGTGATAAATCTATCGCTTCAGTAGCCCCTGTCAATGTAAAATAATGTGTATCAGTAAGATCAAGACCAGAATTTGAATAAAATAAATTTTTAGATGAAAGACCATTGTCAATAATTCGATTAGTTTCTGTAATATATTGTGGTATAATGCTGTTAGATGGATTCACTGTTGATAAAGGTAGCGTTAATGAATCAACTCTTCCTAATTCTGACGAAGACACAGGGGTATATGTCTACAAAAAAGGGACAGTAAAATGGAAAAAGGAGAATGACACATTTTAATATCTAAGGAAAAAAGTATAATCAACAATGAGTATAATACGAAACCTATCAATCTTTCATTTGTTTTATTATTACTATAAAAGTTAAACATATCTAGACATATATAGAAAGATTTGATCGATATTTTCGTCCAAGTTATCCGAACGAGCTGTGGACTAACTCATCTGCAAACAGTGCTTACAATAATTGACTAATGACCAATAGTAATAATGCAATTATTCAATATGTTTTTAGTACAGTATAGAAACCTCAACATAGAACACGCAACACATGAACAACTTCCCCTTTCCTTATACGTCGTAAAAAGTATATATATAAAGTGAAATTGTTAAGTTATCCAAAATTAAATGACACAATCTATACATCAATCAATTGACATGTCTAAGAGTGTAAGGTTTTGATTAGGACAGCTGTTATAATCTAGTCATCGCATAGTGCGTGCTAAATACAGTTTTGTAGAGCTCATGTACTTTTTTTGCGTGCCTGTATTTTAATGTAACTACGCCTAGTTTCCCCGGAGAATATGCAACGAAAAGATGTGAACGAAATGAATGGTTTGTATTTGATAAAATATTGCATCTTAACTGTTTGCAAGATTTCAAATGTCTGTCCACAACCATATCCATGATGAAATTAAAAGATTCACCACAAACCATACTAACTGCCTTCATTACTACAGAACACCGAATACATAGTAACCAATCCCATGCTTGCCTGGATTTTATGGCTAACAGAATCTTTTCGAACACGTTGTGTTGCGACAACTAGCTGATCTGAATCGATAGGAAATCATTCGTTGTGGCAATAGCACCAGCTCCCTTAAGGTTGTACATACGCCTTGATGATGAGTGGGAATTATAATGAAACCTAGATTCAGAGATTCATATCGATTTGATCTGACCAACCAAAAGCATATAGGATTGTTTTAACAGTGAAAAATAGAATAAAGAACTATTTTCATAAACTATGAAAATCAGTAAACAGGTAAACATTCATGTATGTGACGACGCATAGTGAC